GATTTCTTGTCTGCTGTACAGAAGCTTTTTAATTTGATGTATTCCCATTTGTTCATTTTTTATTTTGTTTCCCTTGCCCAAGGAGATGTGTCCAGGGAAAGACTGCCCATACTTAACATTCAAGAGATTTTTGCCTATGTTTTCTTCTAAGAGTTTTATGGTTTCATGTTTTACATTTAGGTCATTAATCCATTTTGAGTTTACTTTTATGTATGGAGTTAGACAATAATCCAGTTTCATTCTCTTACATGTAGCTGTCCAGTTTTCCCAACACAACAATTGTTGAACAGACTGTATTTTCTCCACTGTATATTCATGGCTCCTTTATCATATATTAATTCACCATATATGTGTGGGTTTATATCTGGGCTGTCTGTTCTGTTCCATTATCTATGGGTCTGTTCTTGTGCCAGTACCAAAATTGTTTTGATTACAGCTTTGTGGTGGAGCTTGAAGTCAGGCATTGTAACCAGGAATTGCTTTGGCTATTCAGGGTCTTTTGTGGTTCCATATAAATTTTAGAACTATTTGTTCTAATTCATTGAAATTGCTATTGGTATTTTGATAGGGATTGCAGTGAATCTGTAAATTGCTTTGGGCAGGATGGCTATTTGACAATATTAATTTTTCCTATCCATGAGCATGGGATAGATTTCCATTTATTTGTGTCTTTAATTTCTCTCATGAGTGTCTTGTAGTTCTCAGAGTACAGGCCTTTCACATCATTGGTTAGGTCTATTCCTGGGTATTTTATTCTTTGTGATGCAGCCTTATTGGAACTTAGTGGACTCTGAGCTGTTTCAACCATGTACATCCTCAATGTCAAGATGTGACTCTTTTCAGGCACTGAACAAGTAAGGGCTCATGTTTTGCTTTATTTTTCCTAGAAACAGTTATTGATCTCCCTTCAAATAGCTGACTCCTATGAGCTTTTGCAGGTAACCCAATCCAGAAAGTCAGAAACTCAAGAACTGACTAATGTTTTATCTTTGCATATTAAGTTAGGCCTATAAGATTAAGATCCAGTTATTCATCAGGCTGCTACAGTTTGACTCCCATATATATATAACATGGTTAGTTCAGACTAGATAGAGGAGGCTTTTGGGAATGTGACTTAAAACTACAAAGTGCTCTTGTTGATTGTAGAAAGATGGAGCCCTAAGTGCAAAAACACTGACTTTTTTTTCTCTTGGATTTGAGTATTACATGTCTTCAAGAAACCTGAATTTTAGAGAATGTATTTGCTCAAATTTCAGGCTTAAGCCCTTCTTTTCTCCAATCACAAAAGATTGATGGTATGTCAACATAGTCTGAGCAAAAACATACACCTACATAAACACATGGTATTTTAATAACTTCACAAAGGGAAAATATTCGGTGCAAGTCTACCACCAACCTTGTGGTCTAATTGGTTGTCCTCTTGTGTGTTTCATCTTGCTGCCAGCTTTCTGGAAAGAATGAATAACCATCCCTGCCTTGAATATGTCTGTTCCTATCATTTGCAAAATGCTCAATTCACTGTGAACAAATGAATCTTTTTCAGAATATATTCCTGAAAAATCTCTAGTAGAACACTTTAGTAATTTAGCTAGTTTCTTTATGTTCTCCATATTATATACCACTATTAATAAAGGCATAAGGAATTTTCTTTTTTTCTACCAGAAAAGAGGTCCACAAGTATAATTTTATAACCATCTTTTATATACAAGGTCTATTATAACTTAGTAGTTAAGTTAGTATTGGCATTTTTTTTCAAAATGGAAATACTGTTATAGCATTTCTAGATTATTAAAACATTATTTTTTAATTGACAAAATGGGTAAAAGACCAATAGGTAAATAGAAGAGAAATCCATAAATAGATACAAATATAAACAGTAAATGTAATATATGATAAAGTTTATGTTTCAAATCAGTGGAAAAAGGAAATCACATTTAATAAATGATCCTGGCATAACTAGTTTTCCTCCAGAAGAAGGTTAGTCTCCCTATGTCAATCATAAAATAAATTTTAAATGTATTAAATAATTAAAACACAAGAACAGATTATTTAGATAACTTTTGGGGTGAAGGAATATTTGCTTGGCAACATGAGAAACTTAAGGGACAAAAAGACTGATCGATTTGACAACATACAAATTTACAAAATCTTATATGGCCAAAGATACCTACAAAATACAAAACATTATTGAGAGACTGATAGGAAATACTTGTTCTGTAGTATGACATAGGGTTAATGTCCATATTTCACAAATGGTAAAACGATAAACAGAAAAGCAGCAAGGGATATAAAAGGTAGATTCACTGGAGGAAATTAAACTTTTTGTGAAACTAAGAGAAACATCTAGTGGTGGTAGAAATAAAGGTATTGGGAATGTGAATTTCTTAAACTTCTGAAAAGTAATCCAGCATGTGTAGACAGTCTACAGAGAAGCCCACCACTGATTCCTCCCCTCCTTGAAAACCCTACCAGGCCTTGAGCGTTGTTTTCAAGAATGTGGCAGAAGTGACTGACAGCTTACCCACTCCTGGTGGGAGCCTTTAAAAGAACTGGCAGCTTCTCCTCCTCATTTGAAGCCAGCTGTTAGGAAAGGGGTCTGACTACCCAGGGACTCTAATGTGAGCAACCCAAGCTATCCAGGAAGAGAGGGGAGCGGAGGAGCATCTCGGCCCAGATGTGAAGCCAGGTGCTTGGACCACCCAGGCCACACAGTAGCCAGCGGAGGGAAGCCAAGGAAGAGACCCTAGTGGAGCGGAAGAACCACCCCACCTGATATCCTGGCCACAAAACTGTGAGGAGTAATACATTGTTTCAGGCCACTACATTTTAGGGTGATTTGTTATGAAGACATAAATAAAGCATAGGAATACCTATGAGAATGAAAAAAATATGCATGCTTTGGACCCAAACCCACTTTTGGGAATCTGTCTTTCAGAAATAACAATGCCACTCTTTGGAAACCCTATCCATGCCCATTGAGTGTGATGTGTTTGGATAGAGTTTGGTACATCCATATCACGGAATCTTGATATTATTAGTAAGATTTAATCTCTGGAGAGATGTTCATGATATACTATAAAATAGAAAATGCAAGTGGCAAAATTATGTGTATATTGTCTCATTTTAAGAGATTAAAACTAATATACGTGAATACATGCACATTATGTTTTTATGAACTTTGAGGAAAAATGTAGATGTGTGTGAAACCATTAACCTTGACTTCCTGGAGGAGTGAGCACAGGGTGAGTTCTGGAGACAGAGACTGAGGGCCTATGTATGCTTTGTATGCTTGTGTTACTGGGTTGTTGCAAAGAGCAAAGACTTCTGGTTGAAAGAAAAATCCAATGAAATAGTCAAATAAAAAAGAAAGAAACCCGAACACACTCATTGTATAAAGGAAAACATTAAACGGTGCAGAAGTATATACTAGACAGGGAAATAATCAGGTAATCCTTGTCACCTGCTTTATTTACTTAACACATCAAGAGCATCTTTCTATGCCAATAAAAATGGATCCTGATCACCCTTTTTAATGGTTTCAGAATATTCAATTTTTTAGATATATTATAATTGATTCAATCAATTCCTTATTGCTACACATTTACATTGTTCCTAGTTTTTCTGGTTATAAACAACAGTGACTACTCATGTATATACATCTTTGCCCACTTAGATGTCAAATTGCCATATGCATATTGTTAGCATGCCATCTAACAAAGACTGTAAGCAGTTTATATTCCCACTAAGAGTTATGACAGGACCCTAAAGAATTATTTAAGAGGTGTCTGATAGCCAGTCTTCATGAAATCAGCTGAAAAGAATTAGACTGGCAATTGGAAAATTTTTCATGTTGCTTTGTTGTACTAAGGGACGTGGGTAGAACTAGAGTTATTGTGCATTCAGACACCAAATTCCTACTAACCGAGGGTGGGAGGTGGGGTCACAGGAGGTTAGCCTAGAAATGAGAAAATGAAGAATAAGTGTTTTTGCCTGGAGATTTAAGAGGAGATAAACCAAAGCAGATTTTCTCCAGCTTGGCAGGTTGGATGACTTGCAGTGCCATCTTCTGGCAAAGAAGTCAAAAACATTCAATATCCTGCCAGGAAAAAGTATTTCTTAAAATCACCACTAAACCGAAGACTGGCAGGAAAGCCCGAGAGGCCCTGGTGTTGGCGTGTCGGGGCGTGGAGGAGGGAGGGGAAAGCGGCTTTCTCTGAAGCGAGGACGTGGGTCGTCCGACCCGCGAGGTCCCTGACGAGCTCTGTGCTCCCCGCGACACGCGCGCCCCAGGAGCAGCGCGGGGCTCAGGCAGCGCACCAGCGCCGTCCTTGCGGAGCCCCACGCTCGGCTCCCGGGGTCACTCCAGGTCCGGCGAGCTGGCCGTGGGGTCACCAGGGCGACCCCAGATCTGACCCCTTGTTCCCGAAAAATCTGCATCCATCCGCAGCGGATGCTGTACAGCCATTAGAGGTAGAGATGTAGAAAACCACATTATACTTTTAAAAAACTCTACAAGACTTAAAAATACTTGCTTGCTTTAATCATCCAAAATACACTAGAAAAAGACTTGCTTTTTTAAGTAAAATTGCTTTTAAATATGTGGCATTCCTAATATCCCTCAAGTAAAAAAACCAAGAGTCCCTTTCTCTGTGTAGTATGTTCGGGACAAATTCATAATACGCTTTACTCCAAGGCAGCTTCAGTGAGTTCTCGCCCTCATCTCCGCCTGACCGCAGCTTCAGGTTCCTCGCTTTCCTTTCCTTTCGCGCTTGCGTGGGTCTCCCCGCGGCGAGCTCCCGGCCCCGCCCCGCCGCTCCCGACCCCGCCCAGCACCGCCCTCCCACGCCACACCTCTCCGCCCCAGCACCGCCCCGCTGCTCCTAGCCCCGCCCCGCCCTTCCCAGCACCGCCGCTCCCTTATCAGCCCCGCCCACCGCTCCTTCACGGCCGCCCCTCTGCGCCCCGGATTCCGCGCGTGACGTCACACGCCGGCGCCGGTGACGCTGCGGCCGCTCCCCCTGTGTCCGCGCGTCCTGGGCCGCTGAGGTGCGGTGCTCAGCGCGGAGTCCCAAGCAGGTTGTGCGAGGAGCGCAGCATGTGGAAGTGGCGTGCGGGGCAAGAGGGCGTGGCAGGCAGCTAGCTTCCCGGTCCTAGTTGCGTCCCCGCCCCCGAGGCCACTGGCGGCCACCCCTGCCCCAGGAGAGGCGGTAACGCGGCATTCCCCTCTGCGCCGCCGTTTCCAGGCGCAGCGTGGCCCTGCCTCCGGGCGTGGCCCGAGGTGGGACGAGCCTGGCGTCTGGTGTGGGGTGCCACCGCCCCTCAGACTGGGCCGCGAGCTGCTGCTGGGGGGACAGCGTGGTTTCTCTCTCAGGACGTGGTTTTGGCGCCCTGCCTCGTGAGCCCCGTGGGAGACCAGCCCGGGCTGAGGCTCGTCCGTCCGCACCGTTACTCCGCCTAACGGCCCGCGTCGTGGAGGTGAGCCGCGCCTGGGGGACGCAGACATGCCAAACAGTGCAGTCATTGCAGTGGGCAGACCTAGCTTCTGTAGGGACCACGAGGTGCTCACTTTAAGTGCACGGAAATTATGTCTTCATATCATTAAAATGTTACTTTTCCAGGAAGCAGTATGTATTACAAAGCAATCCTTGGACGTGATTTTAAAAGCGGTAGTGGTAATGAAATTAAAATAATAATATAAATCTTGGTATGGATGATCATTTACATTGCTTATATGTTGTCTCTATTCTTATATATACATTTTAATTAAGAAATGAGTAGCAATGAACTAGCCTGTAATCTTGTATTTCAGTTTCCATAATTTGAAACAATTTCCATATGAAAAGAAGTGAAAGTTCTACTACTTTCAGAGTTCGTCATAACTCTTTTTTATACAGCTCTAATTTTAATTCTCTAAGGTCTACCCCCAAGAAGCAGAACATTTTTTGTTGCCATGTCAGGTTACACCAGAAATATTTATGAAAGATTAAAAGTACCCTTTTCTCATGATGCAGCAGTATTGTAGAGATGATGGAGGGGAGCCAAATGTGGAAAGAAGCAGTCCCTTGTTTCTAGTTGAGGTTTGTCTGCAATTAGAGGATACACAGATCTGTATCATTTAAGACTGACCATTGTTCTAAGTGAAAAGTAAGGAGCCTATTTTGTGGAAAAACAGGTTTTTGCAAAGAGTCACCGGTAGGAATTTAGTAAGAGTCATGACTTGGCTACAGGAGTTCTTTGGAGGTCATTTTAATAATACATAGACATGGTATTCCAAGTAAATTTTACTCTGTTTAATCTTCAGTCATGGGTAGGACACCATTTCATGAATATAAATTCTTCCTTTACATGTTGGTAGTTTCCGCTAGGGAAGCTGTTAATTGTTGTTTGAATGTGATTACACGGAACAAACACATTTTGAAAAAAGTCTAACAGTAATCCCATTCTTACTTTTTGCCCCTTTGCGTAGTGAGAAATAAGGCAGGGGCTTTCATCACTGATGATAAATTGATCCTCTCCCACAATTCGAAATGGTATTTATTATTTTGGGAGGACCATATGTATGGATTATAGCTGCAGACAGTGACATAAACACTTACTGAAATTTGCTGACATTTCTTTATTAATGTTTCCCACCAGGACAACTTTTTCATTAAATAGCTGAAACAGCTGAAGAGACTTAATGTTCTAGATCAGTGATAATTTTTCATTCATATATTCTGACATTTTTGACATTTGGTGCACAAAATTTGACTATGTCAGACATTTATTTGTGGCTCAAAGAAATTCTTAGTAAAATGTGAGGAAACATATCTACTTTGACTAGAGTCTAGGATATTTTTCCTGCAAAATATTTGACATACTCAAAAGAAGAGTTAACGCTGTATAGAGACACTTTGTCAGGGTTAAAAGTTTGGAAATGGGAAAGTTCAAGGACTTTAACTGGAGAAATTGATTTAGCTAGCATTCTTCCTACCTCTGTTAGTATTTATTATTGTTTATAAATTTTAATTATATCTATTTTTTTGAATAAATACATTCTGTAGTTTAAAATTAAGAAGTTACAAAAGAATGGAAAACCTTCCTCAACTACTTAGTTCCCTTCTCTGAAGTCAGTTGATATTACTAGTTTATTGTGTATCCCTTCAGAGATACTGCTTAGATACACAAGCAGTTACATATGTGTGTGTATATGTGTACACACACACACACACATAAATGTAAACATAAGTATAAAAATACATTTCTATATTTCTTTTTAATACCCAAATGACAGTGTGCCATCTGTTACTTAGACATTAATCTGTATCAATATAAATGTTGCTTCTTTTCAATTGATTTGTATATGGATATTTAAATTTTGCCATTTCAAACAGCATTGCAGAGGATAAACTTTGTACATGTATCATTTTGATACATTTGGAAATATTTATAGGGTAAATTCCTAGAAATGGAATCACTGGATGAAAGTGTCAGAACAGTTCATCTTTTGGTACACTACTGAATTATTTTATCTTAGTATTTGTATCAGTTTGTATTCTCACCATATTCCATTCCCATATATTTCCCTCCAACATGATACATGAAGTAACTTTCTGAATTTGCCATTGTGATGGTTGAAAAATGTTCTCTCTTACAGTTTTTACTGTGGTAAAATATACATAATATAAAACTTATCTCGTACTTTTAAATTGTATTTCTCTTTATGGGAGATGGGATACTTTTGCACATTTTAACATCAATTATATTCCTTCTCTAACTTTTAAATTCATATCCATTGCCCATTTTTCTGTTGAAATTTCTTTTTATCCCGTGAATATATGGGAGCTTTTTATTTATTTGAAAAATAAGCTCTTGATAATATGAGCTATATTTATATGTACATAAATATCTATAAATGTCTTACATATATTTTCTTTTTCTCACTTGAATTTTGACTTATGCTAGTTTTTGCTGTGCAGAATTGTCATGTGGTTATATTAATCCCTTAAGGCTTTTTGGGTTTGTGTCACACGAAGCTATCTCACTCTGTAAAAATGACTCTCTGTGTTTTATTACTATTATGTTTTTATTTTTTATATTTTGTCAACTGGAATTTGTGTGTGTGTCAAGTGAAGAAAATGGATTTAGCTTTTTTTCCCCATATTACTATCTAGTGGTCCAAATAGTATGCATTTATTTGAAAATCCATCTTTTCTGTAACGATTTGATACATTGCTATGGTCATCTGCCAAGTTGTAAAAAATTTTTGGATGTATTTCTGGATGTGTGATTTGCCTGTTTGACTGTTATAGCATTTTATTGCGTCTTGATGTCAAGTAGAACAAATCTTTTTCATTATTCTTTTTTTTTCAGTACTTTTCTGGCTATTCTTGCTTTTTTTTCATATTAACTTTCAAATGAGCTTGTCTGATTCACACCCTCACCCTCAACGTTTGTGTTTTTAAAAGAGCAGCATTAAATTTAGAGATTAAGAATTAAAAACTTTCTGATATTAAATCTTCCTATTTTTCTTTCTTCTTTTTTTGGTGTGTGTTTTGTTTTTTATTTGAATATATTCTACTGGCTCATTTCCGTTACTAAGCCTGTCTTCTCCTGTATTCCGTCTGCTGTAAAAACCCATGCAATGAGTTCTTAATTTCAGGTATTTTATATTTTAGTTCTAGAATGTTCATTTAATTTAAAAAAAATATATTCGTTCTTTATTGAAATTCTCCATCTTTAAAAAAAATCATTTTTGTTTATATATTCCTCTTATTTTCTTGAATACATTAGTCCTATTTATTTAAAGTCCCCGACTGATAACTCCATATTTGACTCATTTGTTAGTCTATTGTTTTTTTTTTTCTTTGGTTTTGGGCAGTGGATTCTGCTCTCTTTACCCATCTGTCAGCCCCAGTGCCCACTAGTGTAGTAGGCCATGGAGTGCAGTGCAAGGAAGGACTCCTGGAGATGCCATCTTGTTAGTGTGGTCCCTTCAAAGAAATTGGCAACTGCATTTTGCGGCATGGGATTAATTTTGTTCTTTCTTGGCAAAAGTCACAGAGTAATGATGGTTGTGAAATAACCTCATTATGTGGTTATTTAATGTAATTTGATTTATATGAAATTTAGTTTTCTAAGATGAGTTTATCTTGGTATTTTTTCTAAATAGGATAGTAATGTAATAAACCTTCACATCTTGGAGAAGCATTAAACTCTGGCTGGTGCCCAGAAAGCTATTACGTCACGTGCCAGCCGACCAGACTCAGGCGGGCTCCAGAGTGTTGGGAGCAACATGTCTTCCTCAGCTCACAGGGGTTGCTTCAGTGCTACTTAATAGCTCGCTTCTTATTTCTCTTTAAGTTGCTAAAAACCTTGTCTTTCTTAAAGAGATTTTGAAGTGAAAAATGATTATATTTTCTAAGGTAGAGAAGGCTCTTAACCCACAAAATTTCATAAGGCCTAATTATCCCATTGATCTTTACCCCAGGCTGGGTTCTGACCTTTACTCTTACAAGCTCAGAATATGAATCTTTGTCACTTAAGGATATTGGATCATTTTTTTAGAGGCAAAATAAAATTAGATTTAGTATAGATGTATGAAATGAGAACATGGATTTGTTAATTTACAATGAGAAATAAGGTAAACTGTAACAGAAATTTTAATACAGTCTTCATGACAAGCTGGGTGTCTCCTAGAAGGGAATCATACGTAGAAAGCCTGCTTGTCATGCATGGCAGCAGAGAAGTAAGTTAGGTGAATTAAATATTTACTAGTTTTAGCTTTATGTAGTGAATTCTTGTATCTCCGCAATAAGGGTGATCTCGCCAGTAGGCGATGCCCGTGATGCCTTTTGTGACTCTCTCTCCACTTCTTCTCCTTCCTTGTCTCCTCCGCCCCTTTCACTTTTTAACCTTTCTCTTGCTAGCATATTGTACTCTGGCATCTGTCCCTTCTATCCTCCTGAAAGTACTATTGCTAAAGTTACTAGTGACCTTTATTAAACATCTTGGTATGGTAAGGGTCTAATTATGGTACTAAACCAAAATATAAATGTTAATAAGTTTGTTTATTCATATCAAAGTAAACTCATATTTAAATAAAATGGAAAGGTAAATAGCATATAAGGAAAAAACATGACAGAGAAGAGCTAACATTTTCATTAAATAAGAAGCTTTTGTAAATTATTAAAAAGAAGACTATTCCAGTAGAAAATGGACAGAGGACATGAACAATGAATAGTTCAAAAGACAAGAAATGCAAATGTTCTTATGATTAGCACACATAATGCAGGGATGTTGTGACCTGCTGAGGTGTACTGGGAATTTACAAAAAGCACACAGCTAAGACAGACAGACAATGGCTGCAGCTCTGATGTGGCGCAGCTCTTTATTTTTATACTGCCCTTCTCGGTCCTCAGCCACGTGCTATACTTACCTTTCCCTACTCTGGGGGAACAGGCCAGAGCATTCTGTTGATTTCTTAGAATCTGCCCAGTAAGCAGGGGCCGTGTTTTCACACGTCCCCAAGGCCGTCCTGTTTGCAGGGTAAGGCATCTTGGCTCGTTTGTGAGAACAAGATATGCGCTTGTGGGCAGATAACTTCCAAGGACTGCACCAGTTGTTTCCAAGCTGGTGCTACAGGTGCTTCCCCATTCTGCATGCAGACACAGGGGAAGACAAAGGCCGTCCCCTTCAAGGGAGGTCATGATGAAGGCAGTACATCACAGAGAAGACAAGTAGTGACTCTGTAGCATCTTACTACGCTGATGGACCGTGACTGCGATGGGGTGTGGGGGGGGGACTTGATAAATGGGTGAATATTGTAACTACAATGTTGCTCTTGTGAAACCTTCATAAGATTGCATATCAATGATACCTTAATAAAAAAATAAATAAACGAAGTAAAGGCAAAAAAGAAATACAAATGTTCAATAAATGTGGAAGATTTTTTCAAATTCATTGGTAAGGGAAAGAAATTCGTGTAAAAATAAGACTTGTTTTCCCCATCAAATTTAATGAGTAACAGAGCCAACAGTGATACAGTGCTCACTGTTCTCAATACATCACTGAACTAGTGACCCTCTCAGCACACCTGTGAGTCTGTACGATTCTCACACATTTTACAGGTAAACAATCCAAGCACATAAAAATGAGTGACCTGTTGAAGGTCCTGGAACAAATACATGAGAAAGCCAGGAGTCAAGCCCAGGCTCTCTGACTGACGTTTCACCTGCTTTAACAACTACCTTTACTGCTTCTCAAAGATTTTAATAAATAATAACTGGTGTCAAAAGGAGCAGGCACGTTTAGTCACTGCTCCTGAGAATACAGGTTTCTGTAAGACAGTTAAGCAGTATGTTTGAAAGCTTTATTTAGCATGTGCATATTCTTTGAACTCGGAATTTATCCTAAGGAAAGCCTTGTAATAAGTACATAAAAACGTATGTACAGAAATTTTATCTGAATTTCCTTCATAATAGCAAACACTGTAATTTAAATAACTAATAAGAGATTAGTTACATAACAGGGAAATAGTCTTATTAAACTAACATTCTTATTGGAGATAATAAAGTAATGCTGGTAATTAATTCATGTGGGAGGAATCTGCTGCTCTCCATATACATTAAGTATATACAGTATTTGACTTTCCAGAGCAATGTTATAAAATTGAAATGTGACTGTTTTTCTCTTTTTAGCTATAACTAGGTTGTGTGAGTAAAATTGAAACAATAGCTTATCTAATATACTAGGTTGCATGAGTAAAATGGATATAAAAGCTTATCTAAGTTTCAGTGAAGATTTTAAGTATCCTTTTTTTCAAGTTAACAAATCACTAAGTAATTAGAATTTGAATTTAACATTAAAATTGTTATAGAAGGCATATTTTACCTTTGTCGACTGTTTTTTTTTTTTTAATGTCTAGCATATCTGTTAAGATGTCTTAAGATGTTTTAGAAAAAGAACCATGGAGAAGTATGTTAGACTACAGAAGATTGGAGAAGGTTCATTTGGAAAAGCTATTCTTGTTAAATCTACAGAAGATGGCAGACAATATGTTATCAAGGAAATTAACATCTCAAGAGTGAGTATATTTTTCATTTGGTTATTTAAATACTGGTCTGGTTGCAAAAGGGCTCATTGTTAGAGAATTAAAAAAACGTAGCAGTGCATGACCTAAAGTGACAGACTGCTGTAATCCCAGAAGGAGCCAGTCTGTCCTTTCAGACCTTTTCCTGTGATGTGTGCTTCTGTTTGTGTGTTTAAAAAAATACACCTACTGCTCTGTAACTTAATCTCATTTGAACATCTTAAATGCTTTTACTTGGATTCAACTCATTAACTACTGTCTATGTTTTGTTATTTTGATTTGCTCTATTGGTACCATTACTTTTTAGTTACTCTTATGGCTGGACTTGGAGGTTGTTTACTGAGGGTCTAATGTAATACTTTCCTCCCCACACCCATTTAAGATGTCCAGTAAAGAAAGGGAAGAGTCAAGGAGAGAAGTTGCAGTGTTGGCAAACATGAAGCACCCAAACATCGTCCAGTACAGAGAATCGTTTGAAGGTCAGATACGTTTTGCAAGGGGGTCACAGAACTTCTGAGCTGTATGATGACTTGGATACTTTCTTGTGGGGAAACTTCTTGGGAATGTGTTCTTAGCAAGTACGATTGACCTTTGAACAACATAGGTGGGAAGTGCAGAGGTCCACTTCTCAGTGGATTTTTTCCAATAAATATACTGGAAATTTTTGGAGATCTGTGACAATTTGAAAACACATTTCTTTTCCTAGCTTGCTTTATTGTAAGAATAGAGTACGTAATACATAAAACATGCAAAATAGGTATTAATCAACTTTATATTATTAATAAGGCTTCTTGTCAACAGTAGGCTATTAATAATTAATTTTTCAGGAGTCAGAGGTTAGACCTGGATTTTTAACTGTGGGGGGGGTCAGTACCCCAACCCTGCGTTGTTCAAGGATCAACTGTACATCATTTTTGCTTCAATACATAATGCGTAAAAGTATCAACTTGACTCCAGGATAATACTAACACCACACTGTGCCTGTAGAGTTTAATACTGGCTCACTGTTGCTGTGATCACTTAAAAAAAAGCAGTTGTGCTACATGCCAGAATTTGGACAAAGCAAGGACAGTAATTCCATCATTTATCATTTTAAACTAAATTTTTTTGAAGTACTTCCCCTACTGCCATGGAGAAAATGTTCTGATCTGTAGAAAGTATTCCACTCTAGCTTATCCTGTATACCTCATTGTTAAAATACTGAAATATATTGAGGGTTTTTTTAAGGTCTTAAAATGTCATAGTTATATTGCTGTTTTGGAAATATATACCATTATATTTGGTAGCGCAGGAACTAAGGTAAAGGTAAGGCAGAGCTTCCGTAAGAGTTCTGAATGGTTTATTGCCTATTGAGGTCATCCTATTATTATAAATCCGTATAAATTACAAAATAGAAAGATAATCTACATAGAAAGTACAAGATAGTTTAATGAATATTTTAGGGTCATATCACAACTAGTTTCAGAGTCTGAATTAGAGCTAAACTATCTTTGTTCCCAGATAAACTCGTTATCTAATAAAGTAGAACATACTTTTTAAAAAATACGGGTCAGTTAACACATTATGTCCTAAGGTGCTCAGTTTTATCTTATGGTGGCAGTGAAGTGAGGGTGTATGCCTCCTATGAGGAGAATAGTGTAAAATATCAGCCCCTTTCCATGACCTTGGGTTTCCTTTATCTTTCCCCTAGCATCTGTCTTTCAGTTTATTTTTTCTTTTATCTCCAATATGTTAATATTTCAAGTTAAAAGGTTTGAATGTATGTCAACAAATATTCTGGCAGATGTTATGTTGAAGCATCTGAGTGATTCAGAAGGGATAGATAGCACATTCTCTAATAAGGTTGTTTATTACTGCTATTTAATTCTAAAGGAATAGATGCTCTTGGTAAACATACTCAAAAAATGCAGACTGCCTGAGCCCTAAATTCTCTGTTCCTTCCACTCCATCTTCATCCCATTCCCTAGGGGTAAACATTGTTAATAATTCAGTGTCTATTCTTGACTGTATTTTCTTTGCCTTTGTGGAACAAACATATACATATGACTTTTAACATTAAAATACAAGTGGGATCATAGTATGTGTTTCTGCATCTCGTTCTTTTCATTTTATATTCCATGTATCTCTTTCCGTGTCATTCTGTATTGATGCACCTCGTTCTTCACAACTGCAATGGGTACCACCTGTTCATCCAGGTTTCTTACTACAGACACTTAGGTTTCGCGTTTTTCACATCGCAGATGGTATTGCACTGAACGTCCTTGTACAGGTGTGTGTGCCCATTCAGGGGTGTGTGTGCCCTAGCAGTACCTCTGTGGGAGTGGGATTCTTAGGCTAAATGGGCTGGAAGCGCCTGTGACTCACAAGCTCTCAACTCGAACTTAGAAGGCCACCCTAAAATCTATAAGGTGTAACTTTATCTGTTGATTCTATATGTTTGGTCACAGTCCCTATTTCTGCATTCCTTGAATGTTGTTTTAATCCATGCAGCCCTTTGGACCTCTTGAGTTTCAAAAGAGCTTCTGACAGCTCTGAAATACAAACAATTATTCTCTAACGTGATTAAAATAACATAATGCAAATTAAATCTGTCAATTTTAAAAAATAAGCAAGTTGGTTACAAATGGCAGTTATGACATCATTTTGAATGTCTGCCATGAAAGATGAGGAAATTAATGTATTGCAATTCCTTCCCACTAACTGATTCTTTGTTCACCTTGACATGGTAAAAATAACAATTTATCTTTTGTTCTGAAACTATAATTCTTAGAGTTGTTTCACCTTGGTTCTATATTTGGACTGATTCAATTCTTACTGTTAGTTCTCTTACGCCTTAACAGCCCCTTTCCTTAGTTATTTGAATTCATATCTTGCTTGGCTGGATTCCTTCAATTTTTTTTCATGAAGATCTTATGGATGCTATATTCCCTCAGTGCAATTAATTCTTGAGTTTCTGAGAATATCTACCTGGTGCTTTTATATGTGAATAAGTATCTTTGATAACCCTTTACCTCTTCAAAGCACATTGTATCTCCAGCATTGAATGTTTCTGTAGAAAGGTTTGAATCCAGCACAATGCCCTTCCTCTTCATGGAAATAATTTGCTTTATTTTTTCTTTATGTCCAAAGGACTCTTTCTTTAGGACTGAAATTCACCAGAATTTGACTTATTATTAATAATCCTGGATATGTTTCTCTTGGAATATTTTGTATCCTTTATGCTTGCAGTCTGGTTTTTCTTTGTTGCAAGAATGTTTTCATTTGACTATTTTTTAAAAATCCATATATACCTTTAAGGAAAAATTTTCCAAAATTTGTTTGCTAGAAAGTTGTCTTAGCTTTAAACCAGTTCTTTCTTACAAAGTCTCTCATATCACAAGATGTGCTTTCAAAAAATTTTAGTACATTGAATAACAAAATGCTTTAGGGGAAGACTTCACTGAGTTAGTTGTGAGCACTTGCTTATAAAGGTTGTCAAGCAGAATCAGTTTTAGAAGGAGGCATCAAAGAAATTTGATATTGATGTTATAATTGCAGGTATTAGATACCATTTTAAGTAAGTCTTCTAAAGTCACTTAAAAGGCAGCTATGCATTATGATTAACATGTATAATGTGGTGGGGGGCGTTATGGGGAGGGCCGCACAACACAGAGAAGACAGGTAGTGATTCTATAGCATCTTACTACGCTGATGGACAGTGACTATAGTGGGGTTTGTGGGGGGGACTTGGTGAAGGGGGGAGCCTAGTAAACATAATGTTCTTCATGTAATTGTAGATAAATGATACCAAAATAAAAATTTTTTTAAAAAGGCAACTATGCTAGGAAAATCATGCATGTATGTCCTCTGGAATGACTTTTTTTAAGTCCCAATATTATGCATATGGGAGTTGGGGATAGAAAAAATTCCAATCACAACATACACAGATTTTTAAAGGGCTTTCAATTAATTTAAAAGGAAATAAAGACCTTGTGTATTGGAAAAGCTGATAAATGAACCATAAAATACATTGATACTGAAGGTAAAGGTGAGAATTTTGGATAGTTGTTTTGTAATACATGAGAGTGGGGAGAAAACAGTATTTCTAGGTATATAAATATATCATTAGATAAATAAATATTATAATTAGGCACTTCACTGTTTCATCTGCATCCGTAACATTCGTGAATTCAAAAAGTTTTGCTCTTGTCACTGAGAAAGGGGATCGCCTGTACCAGGGTATGTCTGGGTATTTGTGTACATGATTTTATTTTCTCTGCTGTTACTCAAATATTACTCTCTGCTTTTGGTTGTCTGTAGCCAACATCTAATTGCTTTCACTTTTTTGTCTTTATTTTCCAACAGCCTGTGTTTAGCCTCTTTAATTTGTTTTATTTCTTACTGCTTCTTAAGTAGCTTTTGCATCCTTGATGAACACTTTTCAATGAAGATAGGTCTGGGCATTCTACTTGTTCCCCATTGGTGGTGCCAAAACCTAACTTCTCAATGTTCTTGAAGAAAGCTTTTCTTTGAGGCTAAATTTGGATTGCTTTTTGCTGCAGGTTACACAATTTGACCACTCTCACTTAAGTGAGAAGGAGTTAATTATCTCCCATAACGAGAAGTCTTAAAAATAAGTAGGCCTGTGACAGGGCGTCTGCGGCTCCCAGCAGTGTCACAAGGTCCAGGCTCTCTTTCTCCTCCACCATCCTCAGTATATAAGTGTTTTGAGCCCAGCGCTCTTCCCCTTGTCCTACGATGGCTCTGGCAACTGCAGGCACAAGTTTGCGTCTGAAGCCGAGAGAAGGGGCAGGCGGAAGCCCCGCAGTCCCTGGGTGTGTTCCTGTCATCGGGCAAGCGAATGCTTCCTCAGAAGCCGCTCTACAGACGCCCTCTCGAGTCTTACTGGCTAAAACTGGCTCAGTGGTCACCTCTAACTCAGGGACACCGGGAATTAGAAAATCTGGGGGTTTTCAGCTTCTGCAGTGAGAGGTGAGTGTAGAGTCAGCTGTCGGGTCAGCCAACCCATACGACCGCTTCGCTGACGGTCATAGCTCCCATCCTATTATTGTTGTTCTGTTAAAACTCTTGGTCACTTTCTCATAAGCACTGAGGCTTTGCCAGCCTTACAGGCCTTTTGCTCCAGCCTGAAGCAGCCGCTAGGTGGTGGGGCCTGTGGGCTCTGGAGGGTGCTTCTCTGTTGGCATTTGAGCTCCTTGGTGGGAGGGTGGCGTCTTGCATTCTGTGTCCCTGTCAACAGATGTTTGAATGGTTGAAGAAATACAGAACAGATGAATGCTTCCCTCATGGAAAAAAGACTACTGTTAACATTTATCCATGATTCCTAATACATGTTTAAGCAGCAGAAAACATTATAGAATTCATGTACTAAAGCTCAAATGTTTGCTTAAGGATTGCTTCTCCATCCCTTTCTCAGGTCCTGCTTACTGTTTCTGTATGTCTCACATAGACATACACTCACATTTTTAAAAAATCTTTTGATAGTTTAATTTTTTGATACATGCATATAGTACAAAATTCAAATGTTATATTATCTGTAAAAAGTTTGCCTTCTATTGCTATCTTTGAACCACCTGTTTTCTTTCCTGGAGTTAACCACTGTTACCACTGTCTTGTATCTCCTTTTATAAATACTCTAAGTGTTAATAAGCATGCATAGATGGTGACGTACTCTACACAACTTTTTGCCTTTTGTTTCTTATGCTAAATAAATGGTAACACCCCTTGGGTTTTGTTTCGTTTTTTTCATATTTTTTCATATTTCTCACGTGTATTTGGATGATATTTTACATCAATCCTAAAGATTTATACAGATTCTTAATTGACTCAATCACATTAGAAGCAGTCTATCAAAAGGGGTATGAGCACCATGAGTAACAAAAACGCCACTCCGCTCTACAGACGCCCTCTCGAGTCTTACTGGCTAAAACTGGCTCAGTGGTCACCTCTAACTCAGGGACACCGGGAATTAGAAAATCTGGGGGTTTTCAGCTTCTGCAGTGAGAGGTGAGTGTAGAGTCAGCTGTCGGGTCAGCCAACCCATACGACCGCTTCGCTGACGGTCATAGCTCCCATCCTATTATTGTTGTTCTGTTAAAACTCTTGGTCACTTTCTCATAAGCACTGAGGCTTTGCCAGCCTTACAGGCCTTTTGCTCCAGCCTGAAGCAGCCGCTAGGTGGTGGGGCCTGTGGGCTCTGGAGGGTGCTTCTCTGTTGGCATTTGAGCTCCTTGGTGGGAGGGTGGCGTCTTGCATTCTGTGTCCCTGTCAACAGATGTTTGAATGGTTGAAGAAATACAGAACAGATGAATGCTTCCCTCATGGAAAAAAGACTACTGTTAACATTTATCCATGATTCCTAATACATGTTTAAGCAGCAGAAAACATTATAGAATTCATGTACTAAAGCTCAAATGTTTGCTTAAGGATTGCTTCTCCATCCCTTTCTCAGGTCCTGCTTACTGTTTCTGTATGTCTCACATAGACATACACTCACATTTTTAAAAAATCTTTTGATAGTTTAATTTTTTGATACATGCATATAGTACAAAATTCAAATGTTATATTATCTGTAAAAAGTTTGCCTTCTATTGCTATCTTTGAACCACCTGTTTTCTTTCCTGGAGTTAACCACTGTTACCACTGTCTTGTATCTCCTTTTATAAATACTCTAAGTGTTAATAAGCATGCATAGATGGTGACGTACTCTACACAACTTTTTGCCTTTTGTTTCTTATGCTAAATAAATGGTAACACCCCTTGGGTTTTGTTTCGTTTTTTTCATATTTTTTCATATTGCGATTTCTCACGTGTATTTGGATGATATTTTACATCAATCCTAAAGATTTATACAGATTCTTAATTGACTCAATCACATTAGAAGCAGTCTATCAAAAGGGGTATGAGCACCGTGAGTAACAAAAACGCCACTACAAGGTGCGAGGAGTGGGTCCTGCTGGAGCAAGGCCGTGGCGCAGGGCGGTGAGAAGTGGGGACCGGGCAGCCCTTCTTGGGGGTGCAGCTGTCTCTGCAGTAAGTGGTGGTACAGCGAGTGTTAGAAGTGGTATCAGCCACTCTTCCTGACTTGGGGACCCTGGGTGTAGTCTTACCCTTATGTAAGAGTGAGTGTGGACAGGAGGATTAGAAGTGTTCTTCAGTCCTTTCTGTCCACAGGGAGAGTCACAGAAATCCCTTTTGCTGTGGGCTGAGCATAAAGGTGTGTTAACAGATTATACACAATTTCTAAGAAGGGACAAAATCAAAGTTTTAAGAGAGCAGAGACTATCTTATTCACTGTTGCATGCTCACACCATCTATTATTGTATTTGCTACAAGTAATTGATATAGGGGGTAAAACAAACTGAAAAGTAATTATTAGTTGGGAACTAAGTCAGTAACTTATCTGACAAATTGATTGAAGACATGATTTTATAAATGATGTTTAAGGAAATATACCAATTAAATGAAGTCACATATATCTTTCTGCATTTTATCTATATTCCAGAGATGTATACACGTCAGAGTGGCCACTGCTATCCAAGAGGATGGTGTGTTTTTGGTAAAAGAATTGTTAGTGATGAAGTTGTCTGTTAACCCAAGTTACTGTACAATCTGCATAACCATAATGCTCTGATTTGCACTTTGGAGTGGGGTTCTGTTTGTGGTTTCACAGAATGCAATTGCTGCTTTTTAGGAAACCATTAAGTAGTTTAATTTAGCTAAGCTTTTGATACACATTTGAAAATGTAATGTTTATATTTTGTAGAAAATGGCTCTCTCTACATAGTGATGGATTATTGTGAAGGCGGGGATCTGTATAAACGAATTAATGCTCAGAAAGGCATTTTCTTTCAAGAGGATCAGGTGAGTTAGCATGTAGGAGATTGACTCTTATTCCATATGTTACTAAGAAGTAATTCAAAGTTTGTTTATTTATATATGTTTTGATTTGTAGCTACGAATGATAATTGTAATTACTAGGACAATTGGGTATCATATTCTAATATCTTAGTCACATTTCTGTTCTAATTAGCTCCCACTTTAGTTCCTCATCTCATTTCCTGTCTGTGGTAATATTGTATAGTATATGTTGTATCCCATGTGTATGTGTGTGTATATATATTTATATATACCTAAAGATAGATATGTATATTTATGTATGTAACAGTTATTAATTACAACCCATTAATTATTGTATACCCTGTCAGTCTGGCTTACTGTTGCCAGAACATGTCTCCCAAAATGGGGCTTTGCCAGGTAGCTCCAGCTCTGGAAACTTAGTGTTGGCAACTGCATTAAGTCTAATCTCTGTTTTGATTTCAAGGATTTCTAAAATAAGACCCTGTCTTACCTAAGCAGTCCTACTTTTTTTTACTGTTATTCCCTGGTTGTCCCCTTTTACATTTATTTAGCAGGTATTTACTGAGCATGCATTCTGTGTTAGGCACTGAAACACATTTATAGTTCTCATTCTTCTTACGCATTTATTATATTTCTTCAGCTTTGGTAATACTTTCCCCCAAACTGTCTGTTACTAGTATTCTGTTGTTTTTTATAGCTCAGTTTCAGTCCCAGACTTTCCTTTAGATTTCCCATAAGTACTCTCATTGTCGGTGATCTCTGCCTTCTCTAAATTCCTGTTGTGTTTCTCATTATCGCCCATTCTTAATTTTAACCTCATGCTCTTATAGGGGGCAGTGGAGGGAGCACTGTGCTGGGGGGGTGCTGTTCTCCTAGTTCTCATGACCCCATCAATCAGCATAACTTTCTGTGTTTAATAGATAAGAAATCTAAGAGAAGTTAAATAGCTTGCCCCAAACCACATAGTTGGTGTTTGAACCTATTTCTGGCCAACTTCAGAGTTTCTAAAATTTCTTTTTACAAATTTAAAATAAATTATAAAATGATTTAAAAGTTCAGAAATGGAAAGCCTTCGTTCCTGACTCTTCTGTCCCTGAGAGTCCCAGTCTTTTGTAACATTGCAGACTCTATTTTTCCTCCTTGCACATGTGTGTATATAATGCTGAGGCACCTGTGTTCAGAAATGGAATATTATACACACCATGCTCTATCTTGCTTTTGTTACTTAAAAATTGTCTTGATCATCTTTACATGTTGGTCCATATAGATCAATTATATTAGCTTTAATAGCTGCATTATATCCCATTCCAGCAAGGCCTGTGGACATTTTATCTCTTTTTATGCTTTTATCTTCATACTATTCTGTTCCTTCCATGGCAGCTGTTCCAGCATCTTTTATAAATATCTCTCTGTATTTTTGCAAAATGGCTGTCGGTGTGTGTGCGGGTACTAGGTGTGTACTGGCTTCTTCAGTCTTACTCTCCCTGAGGGCTGTGTCTCAGATCCACGCTATGCTATCTGTGCACTTACCACCTCTAACTGCTGAATGAGGCTGCGTGGTGTTCCGACAGGCCTGTACGCACTTTCACTGCCCCGTGCGCTCTTCTTCATGTACTCTAAATACTTCACAGGAGAGTTTTTCCCCAACACGGCTGTAATTTCCTATAGAACAGAGATCACGCTTTTACTTCGTCATCTCAGGGAAGGACATACTTAGGAAAGGTATGTCTGTGGTAGGAACCAACTTGGCACAGCTGATTGATAATACCAGATGGGTGGGAACTTCTAGGTTCCTGGCAGTACCCTGAAACTAATAGTAAGGTGAAATCTCAAGTTATATTTTAATTAAGTACAACTAAATAAGGTAATGTAATATTTCTCAAGCTTTTCTTACCTCTTGTTTCCACCATTAAGTCTACTAGACAGAGCACAAAACTTGGAGTAAAAAGCCTTGAGTTTGAATCGTTGTTTTACTTACCAGCTTGGTAATTGTTAACAAGTTGCTTAACTGTTTTGATACTATTTCCTCATTTGTTAATAAGGATGTTCCTACCAAGTAGCTGACTTCACTACGGTGGTGAAATCAAATAGTAATGTATGCTGCAAGTGCTATTTTTTATTAGAATGTTATCTGCTATGTTCCATTGCTTGTGCTTGTTTTTATTTATTTGTCTCTGTTGAACTTTAAAATGCTTACTATTAAATTTCATAACTTTCTACCATAAAGTATATAGTTAATCTATATATTTGGTTCTAGTGATGGATAAATAGTCTTAGTACATAATGGTGTGTGTGTGTACATATTTTTGTATCTTGTCATCCTAGAAATTATTATGGAGAACTACATTATATATTTTTATTCATCTCTGAGACTAATTCCACAATAAACCCTAAAATTTGGGAAGTCTTTCTTGCAAGTTAATAGCATTTTTTTCTGCCGTTCAGAATAAGTTTTGTTAGCACAAATAAAGGCATTGTTTATTTTATCCTATTTGAAATGGGAATTATTTAAATAAAAACATTCTAATACTTTCTGGGCTTTGAAGCAGGAAAACAGACCAGAGGCCATTTTTGGTTTAGGCTGCAGGTTAGCATCCATATGAGGTGGTTTTGTCCATTTCTAGAATGGAAGTGGGAACAGAAAGTTTGAAATAAGTTGATTCTGCAATCACCCAAGCCTTCTATTTAGTGATACTTACATCTTTGCGTCTTTATTGGACAAAAATCTAGTCTAAGAAATTACCTAAGTTTAACTTTTAATCAGCAGTAAACAATGAAATGCATAAATGATCCTTGGATGGCCTTTGCCCACAGAGATATTAAAAGATGTTCTACTGGCTATTTTCGCCTTATTTCCAAGTTTTGGATAAATTTTCCAGGAGTCTCCTCTCTTGAGATGATAAATATTTCCAAATATACATTCTTTCAAAAGAAAGTCTGGTCTCATAAATGTTAGCCCTAATATTTAGGAGCAGTGAGAGTGTAATTAAGCATATAGGCTTCGTTCAGTTTGCTCTGAAAAATCTAGAGCCTTTTAGTATTGAGCAACTACTAAGGCCACAGAATTGATTTCTGCCCACAAATGTTTATAGGGAATGTTGGATTTGATTTTTTTTAAAACCTATTATTTGCTCTCTTATAGCAAGGCCAGGAAAACAAGCCCAGTTCATTCTCGTCAAATTTCACCTGCAGTACCTATAAATTTGGGTGGTTTGCTCTTTCGTGAGGGTTTACAAATTTGCCAGGGTTTTGATGACCAGCCACCTGTGATCCTGAGACTCTGAGTGAATGAAAATCAGTCTCATTTAAATGAGACACTCCAGGGATGACCTGGATTGCACAATGAAGTGTCCAATTATATTGTGGTAAAAAGGGATAGAGATTCTTACTGACTGAACTGATGAAAATCATCATATAGCCCTGAAAAATAAAACTATTTGAATTCTAAATGGGTTAGTGAGAATCAGATAATCATTTTAAGATACTATGTTTCAGTCTCCAAAGTATAGTCTACTAACCAGAAATAGCTTAGAAGAAAAAATGGACTATATATTCATTAAACATAGAAAAATAGAACATTAAAAATAATACCCATCATATTCTAAACAAACACAATTAAATTGCATTTAATTCAGTTCATTCAGTCCTAGTAATTCTTCTGCTGGGTCCCTTGGGGCAGTCTGCTTTCGTGATATGTGTCAGCTTATGGACTAAAGTCTCAGAAATCTTGACTCGGTCCATTGTTCACTCCAGCAATGTCAGCTCAGAAGTCTGTACTTGAGTCTATTTTTTGAAGTATCAATGGTTCACTGTTCCTAGCAGAGTGTTTCCCAAGAGCCTCTGGCCAGCATCACAGAGCAAAGTCCTGTTTGATGAGACTAGAAGGCTTTTGTTAATTTATTATAGTAGCCAGTAACACAATTAAATGATCTATAGGGACATTTGATAAGGGCATGATGAATATTTCCCTTAAGGGTAAAAATAGACAGGGAAGTCATTGACAGATTTCCAAGACCTTCCCAGAAAGCATGCATTTTCTGGAGTGTTTATATCAATGATAATTTACCTACACAAACTTAACCTGGGACCATCTGGGCATCTTTGTTGATCTGCCAAGTCTTCTCATGCAACTCTTATAATAATGTTGAGCTGAGTAATACATACCAGGAGAGATAGCCTTGCATTTAAAAGTTTTTTTCTAAATTTAGGATCTAATGCTGGAAAGGCAAAAATCTAGAGAGTGGTCAGAGATTTGGTTGCTTCATTAAGGTAGAGTCTTAGGTGCCTGAAAAGCAATATTTGGTTACCTGTTTAATCAAAGGGACAAAATACTTTTTAAAATGAAGATGGAGAGGATTCCGGGAAGCTGGTGGGGAAGAACGAGTAGGAGTCTGTCCCCCACCTACACAGCAACGACAGTGGCCAGTCTGATGGGACTGTTCTGGGCCTCTGGAGTCTCTTGAAGACTTACAACTTCCAGGGGAATGCTTGGATGGGAAATTGTCATCAATTTTGGTCAATTTTTCAGCTGTTAGCCAGGGAGCAGGGTTACCCGTTCTCCGCCTCCTCACCCTGAGACAACCAGCAAAGCGTGCACCCAGAGCAGCCTACCTGTGCCCTGGTGGGGGGCTGGGCAGCACAAAGCTCCCTGTGCTCCAAATACCGGTGTCTGCTGTGACGCGGATCGCCACCTCTGGTCGCGGAGGCACCACCTGGAGGTGGGCACTCCTTGCTGTACCTCCTCTGCTGTTGCGAGCCCCAGCCCTCCTGCTGAAGTGACTTCCAGAGAATTTAGAAGGTTGGTACTGGTTTTTTCCCCTGCTTCATTTCTTTCTTTTCCCCTTTGGACACAGACATTAAAAACTATGACATTCAAAAGCCACCACATATATGAGGGAGATTAGAACGTCTCCATGCCTACCCAGAGAAAGATGCAGGACCAGAGAAGACCTGAGAAGATTTTAAGTTTACACCTCGGTATGATATTGGCTGAGGGACAGCCC